GCATCATGTTACAAACAAGTGTGTCATCTTTTCTCCCCTAAGAGTGTTAGGAGAATGGCGAGGAAAGTAGGAACAGAGCTGGGGCTACCAAAGGACGAGGGGAACATAAATTAATTCAAATACACAGGCTCCTGGTCTGCTTCTGTTTCACATCTTCATTGTAAAACGAAGACTGCAAAAAGGCAACAGCTTCTCAGGAGAGTGGAGGTGAGATGATGGAGGCACAATTACATGTGTCTTGTACACATCCCTCACTGTTTGCCTCTTTTGTTGCAAAATGAACACATCATTCCACATACGTGCTACAAACAATACTTCACAACTATCCAAAATTTTGATATCATAACTGTCAGGAGCCCAGGCTGCCATCTTGATAACGCAGCACACAAGTCATAATTAGCTTGAAGATTTATTGCAAAACAAACAATCAGTCTCGGATGCTCTATTGGAGCTTCCATACCTTACGATTCAGTTGACCCTTCTGAGGAGTTCTTCCTGGTTCTGCAGAATATCCTGAACCTATGACCCTTACATTTCTGGGTTTGTTTCCTGACTAATACCTTTCCCATACGTCTACTCTTTGGACTCAGGGGATTAATGCTACCCCTCCTGCTTTCCGAGCCTGCCTGTGCTTCTTGAGTGAGTTGTCTTCTCTTTATCTCACTCTCTGCTAACGTCTTATCAATATCCCAATGTCAGGGGGAGGGGGAGTAGACAGCCAACTGCTCTCAGCTGTCTGACTGCTTTCTAACTCATGCTATGCTTCTCTACTTGGGGCAGATGTGTTCATGACAATAACCTTTTCAAGGGATCCAGAATAGTTTGTCCTGCACCAGGGAAGCCTGTAGCCCTCCTGTTGTTGTTGGGATTCCATTTCCCAGCAGCCCCAGTCAGCAAGCCCAATGGCCAGGGACGATGGGAGTTGTAGTCCCAACGTTTGGTGGAGGACCAGACGGTTCCCACAGCTATCATATACATTCATTTCTTTAGTTCTGTTGTTGTCTCTGAGCAAGCTAAGCAGTCTTGCAGATACCTGAAGGACCACACAACCCTGAACATTCCTTTTATCAACAGCAATAGTGGGATGAGTTGGTAAATGACAGGCATTGTGTCTGTCATACCTTCAGCACTCTTTCTGAAGGAGGACTTTTGCACAGTCTCTATCACACTTTTAAGGGCGTTGTGGACCCCTTAGGCCTCCTTCAATTCCCCCTTGTTCATGCAGCATTCTCCTCCAACTACTACTGACTTTGTCCTCCCTAAATCCGGAGATTTCCTATTCTTTGAAAACCTGAATAGGAGAGCTAAAACTCCAGATTTAGGGAGGAGAAAGTGTGGGGACAACAGTAGTTGGAGGAGAACGCCACGTGGACGAGGGGGGATCAAGGGAGGCCCAAGGGGTTCAAGATCCACATTAAACTGAGGTCTGATTAGGCCCTAACATGCTGTCCTGCAGAGTGCTTGAAGGGGCTCCGCAAGACCCACCAATCTCCTGATCGTCAAGGCTTGCTAAACCCCGGCCAAGTGTTCTCTTCTGCAGCTCTTGCAAGGAGCTTTGCAAGCTGGTGGTTGGGTTTTGCCAAGGCCTCTTGCAAAGCCCCAGGCACAGTGCTTTGCACAGCTAGCGCTTGGCATGTGCTACCCACCAGCTGATCTGTGGACGCCTCTTTAGCTGAGTCACGTCTTTACCTGCCCCGCACATTGATGTCATATATGATGTCAGGTGTGGGGCAGCTGGGTGTGGCTTGGGTGAAATGGCCTTGCAAGCCCACGGGATAGCTCAGTCAGTAGAGCATGAGACTCTTGATCTCAGGGTCATGGGTTCGAGCCTCACATTGGGCGAAAGATTCCTGCATTGAAGGGGGTTGGACTAAATGACCCTTAGGATCCCTTCCAACTCTACAATTTTTTGATTCTAGAAAACAAAATGGAGAAGCCTGGCAGGGCCTAACTGGGCCCATGGGCTGGGGATTCCCCACATCTGCTCTAAGAGAAAGCTTGCCATCTGTCTCATTTCCTAGAGAAAGGAATGGGCAGCACATTCCTAAAATCCACAGACGGTACAAAACTGAGAGGAATCAGTGAATACTTTAGAGGACGGGGGGGCGGGGATCCCAAGGCAACTTGACACACTTGAAGAGCTGGGCTGACAACTTTAAAATAAAACTGCAGAAGGATAAATGCACACTTCTGCTCCAGGGGAGGACCAAAACGAGGCCCCAAAAGCCAACTGGCTGGGCAGAACCGGTGCTGAAAATTGGAAGGGGGCTGAGCATGAGCTGACCATGTGATGCTGTAGCAAAAAGGGGGCCTTTTGGTTCAAATGAGTAAATGCAAAAATATCCAGCTCTTAGGAGGTAATTTCAGCTCCACACTTAGTAGCTCCAAGAGCACGTTTCATATGTGAAGCTTAAATGTGGCCGTGGGCCTTTCTTACACTATTTACAAGGATGTTTGATCATGTTAATGCGGAAAGAGAGGCATCTGCAGTGCAAAGCAAAGAAGCTCATATTGCAAAGTGGGTGAGGCAAGACCCTCTTTCCTTTAAGCTTCATGTGCAAAAGGAATCTACAACCACACTCCCACCCTGGGAGTCCCTTGTTCAGTTTAAAGGTAAAGGTAAAGGGACCCCTGACCATTAGGTCCAGTCGTGACCGACTCTGGGGTTGCGGCACTCATCTCGATTTATTGGCCAAGGGAGCCGGCGTACAGCTTCTGGGTCATGTGGCCAGCATGACTAAGCCGCTTCTGGCGAACCAGAGCAGTGCACGGAAACGCCATTTACCTTCCTGCCGGAGCGGTACCTATTTATCTATTTGCACTTTGACGTGCTTTTGAACTGCTAGGTTGGCAGGAGCAGGGACTGAGCAATGGGAGCTCACCCCGTCACAGGGATTCAAACCACCGACCTTCTGATTGGCAAGTCCTAGGCTCTGTGGTTTAACCCACAGCACCACCCGTGTCCCATCCGTGTCTGTTCAGTTTGGGGGGCCCTAATTCAAGGAGGATGTTGCGAAACTGCGAAGAGGAGTTGAAAGGAGATCTACAAGAGACTTGGAGACAAGCCCTATGAGGAAAGGCTTGAAGCAGCAGATTGCAATCTGTGTGACAGGGCACAATAACGCACTGAAAGAGAACTGCTCATGTGCTTGCAAAAAGAACTATTTCAATCATATACCGTGGGGATCAAAGTAGCCACTGCCCATTGCCTCTTTGCATGTTTAAGTACTCCTTCCTTCCTTCCAATCTTGAGCATGCTCAGATCAGTGACTCGTGCACTGATCTGAGGGCATGTAGCTCCAAGAGCACGTTTCATATGTGAAGCTTAAATGTGGCCGTGGGCCTTTCTTACACTATTACATACAGAGGGCATACTCCTATGAAGGTACATAGTATTCGATTTTACAAGCTAAGTCCTTTCATTTGTGGTGGGGAAAACACGCCTCGTTTATCAGACACTGGCTTGGGTGTGTGTTCAGTCTGGGGGGAGGGGAGTAGGTTCAGAATGTGGGTGACAACTAAAAGTCTGTCCCAAAGTGGAGAGAAATCATTAATGCACCTTATCCTCTAAGACAGGAGAAGGGAGACTTGTAGTCCTTCAGATGTTGCTCGATTCTAACTCACATCAGCCTCAGCCAGCATGGCCAATAGCCAGAGATGGTGGAAATTCTAAAACACCTTTTAAATGCAATGCTATTCATGTGAAACAGCTAGATAGACAAGTGCTTTCCCTATTATTTCCCACTTCCACTTGAAGAACTTGACAGAGAGCAGCAGCTTCAAATTATAGGACTGTAGATTTGAGCCAAATGCCAGGAGAAGTTTCTTAACTAATAGGGCAGTTCATGGCCTTGGAAGTGTCTGGAACCTCCTCTTGAAGGTCTTCTATGGAAAGGTCAAACCATTAGGCAGAGTGTGAAGTAGCCTTAGATGGCAGGTGTTGGGCACCATTAAAACACACCACACATTGATGTAATTATGATTTATTTATTTTTACAGAGACTGTGTGGCTTTTGTCTCAGGTTGGGTTTGAGATCCTACGTTTAATCTGGGATGGTTCATCAGTGATCTAGCTCCAGAACAGAAATCTGGAACTCGGTGGCCAGCTGAGACTTGGTTCATCTCGAGGCAGATAGGCTGATTGTATTGCACTGGCAACAAGTCTGACTATCCCCTTTCGTTATTCTAATTGGGGGCAGATGTCATAGCGAAGGGGATCGAGATACGGATATGCTCGTACCACTTCCAATCTGCGCCCCATCCCGAGAGACGAGGGTAGGGTGAGCAAGGATTACTCACCTCCGTCACTGGTGTTGTGCAATGCCAGGTCTATAGGCAACAAAACCGCCACCCTGCGAGATTTCTTCATCTCGCAGGGGGTCAACCTGGCTTGTGTGACAGAGACCTGGGTGCGCGAAGGGGATACTGTTACCTTACGAGAGATGGCGCCCCCGGGTTTCTCCGTCCTCCACCAGTCGTGGACTGTGGGCCGGGGGGGAGGGGTGGCATTATTAATCCGGGAAGATTGTTCTTTCAGGGCTCTACCATCGCCATCGATCCCCGGCATTGAATGTGTTGGCCTAGTGTGGGGCTCCAAGGTGAGCTTGGCTGTCTGGCTGGTGTACCGGCCACCTAGCACACCAGCAGCCACCCTGTCAGGCCTGCTGGAGGCGGTGGCCGGCTGGGCCTTGGAGTTCTCTAACCTATTGGTATTGGGGGACTTCAACATCCATGCTGATGCCACTCCCTCCTCACAGGCTCTGGACCTGGTGTCTTCCATAACGACACTAGGGCTCTCCCAGTTTGTTTCGGGCCCCACACATCAAGCAGGCCACACGCTGGATTTGATCTTTGGCGTCGGTATAGATGTGATCATGTTTCCTTCGATGAAGGTGCCATGGTCTGATTACTACGCTCTGAAAGCCAGGATTGATGTTCCACCACCCCCCCCACTCCCCTGCTTAGGTGGCGAGCCGATTTGGGCTCGCCCGCAGAGGCTGATGGACCCTGATAGATTCCGTCAAGCCTTGCGGGACCTTTCTCCCCCTGGCGACTCATTGACTGAGCTTGTTGAGGGCTGGAATACCCAGCTCCTGGCAGCCATCAATGAGATCGCACCTAAGCGCCCTCTGCAACCCCGCAGAAACTGGGCTCCCTGGTTTACCGAGGAGCTCCGGAAAATGAAGCGGGACCTCAGACGGCTAGAGCAAGTATGGCGGGGTGCCCATGATGGAGCTTCAAGAACATCTTATAGGGTTTTTATGAAACTCACGAACTCCTGGACCCACCGCCTTGCCGACGTGGGGATCCAGGGCACAGTCCTTCAATGGCTGCGCTCGTTTCTCTCTGGTCGGGGACAGAGGGTGGCGCTTGGGGGGGAATTGTCATCCCGCCACTCCTTGGTGTGTGGAGTACCTCAGGGTGCAATACTCTTCCCGATGCTTTTTAACATCTTTATGCGCCCCCTCGCCCAGCTTGTCCGGAGTTTTGGGCTGGGCTGCCATCAGTATGCTGATGACACCCAACTCTATCTGTTGATGGATGGCCATCCTGAGTCGGCCCCAGACACACTGATCAGATGCTTGGAAGCTGTGGCTGAATGGTTACGTGGGAGCCGGTTGAAGTTAAATCCTTCGAAGACAGAGGTTCTCTGGCTGGGACGGGACGATATGGGATTGAGGGGGCAACTCCCATCTCTTGCGGGGGTGCAATTAGTGCCAGCACCGTCCGTTAAGAGTTTGGGTGTAATCTTAGATACCTCCCTCTCCATGGAGGCGCAGATTGCAGCTATAACAAAGGCGGCATTTTTTCATCTCCGCCAAGCTAAGCAGTTGGCTCCTTACCTCTCTCGCCCTGACCTAGCCACAGCCTGACTCCCTCCTTTGGCAATCTTTACAAAACTTTAGTTTATGGTTGCCATCAATTTTGATTTTAATTAATTTTTATAATGTTTTTATGCACTATTTTAGTGTTGTTAGCCGCCCTGAGCCCGGCTTCAGCTGGGGAGGGCGGGATATAAATAAAATTTATCATTATTATTATTATTATTATTATTATTATTATTGATTCTGTAGTGCTTCATGGTTGCACTCTGTTTACATCACACACACAAACACAGGCCTATCAGAGAGAAGCAATGGGGTTGAATGGCCATGATATTGTTATTATTAGCCCTAAACGGCCTCGGTCCAGTATACCTGAAGGAGCGTCTCCACCCCCATCGTTCTACCCGGACACTGAGGTCCAGCACTGAGGGCCTTCTGGCGGTTCCCTCACTGCAAGAAGCCAAGTTACAGGGAACCAGGCAGAGGGCCTTCTCGGTAGCGGCACCCGCCCTGTGGAACGCCCTCCCACCAGATGTCAAAGAGAAAAAACAACTACCAGGCTTTTAGAAGACATCTGAAGGCAGCCCTGTTTATGGAAGCTTTTAATGTTTAGTAGATTGTTGTATTTTAATATTCTGTTGGAAGCCGCCCAGAGTGGCTGGGGAAACCCAGCCAGATGGGCGGGGTATAAATAATAAATTATTATTATATTATTATTATATGATGGCCTCCTCCCCAAAGACACAGCCAGGCCACCTCCCCACTCTCCACCTATAGCAAAAATGGGAAACCTGTGGCCCTCCAGGTGTGGTTGGATGCCAACTCCCATCAGCTCCAGCCAGCAGAGCCAAGGGCCAAAGAGGTAGCCCAACAATATCTGGAGAGCACCAGGCTCTCCATCCCTGCCCTACAATGTGTGCAATAAGCCGCCAACAGGTGCGCGATGGGGAAGTGCTGTAGCTCAGTGACAGAGCATCTGAAGGTCCCAGCTTCAATTGCTGGCATCTCCAGATAGGGTTAGGGGAGAGAGAGAGGAGAAAAAACCTTGTCTGAAATCCAAGAGCTCCACTGCCCACCAGTTTAGAGATAATGCTCCACTAGATGGGCCAGCGGTCTGACTCAAGCAGCCTCCTTTGTTCCTACGCCTGCAGAACAAATGGGTCCAGGTGAGTCAGGTATGAGCGGGAACTTGAGTAGTTTTACTGGGGCACAGTGGGGTGAAATGAGAGAGACGGTGCTCAAGCCCAAATCAGATGGCATTCAAAAGCAGGTGGTGGGTGACTGCAGAGCGGTGTCCTGGGCGATGTGAGCATCCTCGCCTCCAGCTCAGGTGTGCGTAGGAGAGGGGGGAGTGTCCCCGCCTGCTTCTTAAACTGCAGGGGCCCTGCAATCTCCTGCTGGGGGGCGGGGAAGAGGCCACCCGAGGCTGCCTGTAGGCAGACCCTTCCCAAGACTTGAAGTGGAGGCAGGTGGGGGCGGGGCAGGCCGGGGGAGGAGGCTGCCGCGGCGGCGGCGGCAGCGGCGGCTCGCCTGGCTCTTAGCTTAGTTTGGCTCGGCTGCTGCAGATTTCTGGACTGGACGGGGACGACTTGAGCTGCAGAGCGATGGAAGCCCGGAGCAGGGGGTTGCAGGTAAGAGGCGGGCTGCGGTTTGACCTAGAGTGGGCAGAGAGGGGGGGAGGGTTCTGGATCCCTTCCACTCCCCCTCGATTCAACTTTCCACTCCCCGGGGTACGCTGGTGGTGATGGTTGGGGGCGTTGAAGGGAAGAGGGGCAGAGGCAAGAGGGGGGATATACACATACCAGACTGGCAAATGAGAGCGGGGTGGGGGGGTGGGAGAGAGAGAAGATCCCCATTTCCTTCTCCTCTTCTTCCTGCCCCTTCTCTTCCTCATTCAGCCTTCCAACCCCGGGGTGGGCAGCGAAACCGGGGGTGAGTTAGGGGTGTTCGGATCTGGTATGGGCAGTGGAGACTGGGGGAAGAGGGGGAGTCTCGCCTCCCTCTCTTTTTTAATTTCCCCTCCCCTTTCTCCTGGATTCACACCACCCATCTGTGGGTACGGAGTCTGTGTTTGTGTGTTTTATTGTGTGAAGCCGGGAGCAGAGCATCTTCCTCCTTTTCCATCACTGCCCCCCCCCGGCTTTTTTTGCCTCTCTGCTGGAGCGCCTCAAAAAACGCCAGCCCAGCTTTCCAGTCCAAGTCTCACTTAAACCCCAGCCTCTGAGTAACCCATGGAGTGAGCAGGCTGAGGAGCGAAGTGCTGTTCATGATGGGATCTTATATATAAATAAATAAATAAATCCTGGTTAATTAATCTGTGATAACTGCTCCATTACTTAATGATCCCTAACACAGATTAGAATCTCCGCTCAGCCCCGCTAAACATGCAATGTCCCTGATTACGAGGAAGGAAGTGTAGTTGAACCTATCAGGGCAACTGATAGCTCTCTCGCTCTCTGTGAGTGTGTGAGTCTGTAGCTTTATTCCACACAGACCAAGAAATCTGTGTAGCATTTTAGGAAAGGCAAAATGCCACGGTAAACTGAAGATTCACATACTGTATTTGGAAATCAGCCATATTACTATGTACTCTAACCTGGTGTCTTTCAGAATTCTGACCTTCAGGAAATGCCTTTTTTCTTCCACACAGCTTCCAAGGAGCCCTTAAGTGCAAGTTTGTGTGGGTGGGGTGGGGAGACTCTGGGGGAACCTTGTTTCCGACAGAGGAGACAGCCGCAGTACTCTGAGCAGCGCCGGGCAGTTCCATATAGCTGCCCTGTTAATTTCCCACAATGCCCCAGACATAATAGGACTCCAGAGCTTTATGGGAAATTGAAACAGTGGCTAGCCTGTGTGTTTTTTTAAAGAGGTGTTAACCGTGAACCCTGCTGGAGCACTGGAGGCCTGGCAACTGTGGAAAGCCGGTGGGAGCTGTTCTTAAGTATCTGTTTTATGACCACTGCACACTGCAGAGGATTTTGGGGCACATTCTAGCGATTCACAGTCTGGCCAGGTGAGCCTTGCCGTGGTTTGTTGGGCCAGAGACTGTTCATAAGTGGTGAACCGAGGGTCTGCCTACCGGTTGTACGTCAACGGGAAAATTGGCATTGGTGGGCAAGCTGCCCTTCAGCAAAGCATTGCAGGGGGTTGGACTAGATGGCCCTTAGGGTCCCTTCCAACTCTACAATGCTGTGATTCTATGAAAGCTCAGCTGCCATTACTGAGCTTCCCATTGAGGAATCCCTGATAGACTTTCAGCAAAGAACGTGAGAGCCACTGCTCTGCTCAGCATTCCATGTGACATGGATGGTGCTGGAATAATGGGATGCAAGGTTGTGCAACTCTTCAGAAATATGGGGACGGATTGTACCCAATTAAAAAAACAAAACACTACGCATTTGCAAAGGCTCCCTAGCTGGCTTTTGTTTGTGTTGACGATTTGAATATTATATTTTTATACACCTCAGAACAGTCCCCCCTCCAGGTCATTGACTGGTGGTCCCAGTTTTCGAAGCCTTCCCCTGTAGCAAGCAGATCGACTCAGCGCATTCTTATGAAATTATTTGCTCTGCGGGGAGCTTTGGGCAGTGCAACAGCTCTCTGCTTGCGGCACGAGAAGGACTAGAGCAGGACTGGTGTCAGGCTTGGGAGGACCCTTGGCAGGGTGCCCCCACCCCAACCCACAACCCAACACTTGCACACACAATGAAGGACAGGCTCCAGTCCTGCTTGTGATGGTGGCAGCGCCCCTTGCTTTTGCTGCTGCCATTGCTGTTTTAATAGCAGCAGAGGTGCTCCCTGCCTCAACGCCAAGCCCTGGGTAGAGGCACTTTTGAATGGGAGATAAGCTTCGCTGCCTTCTATGATGGTCACCTGTCATTGTAAGTTACCCCAAATGGAGTGCCCTGGCAGCTCACAGATCTATGAAATTTTCACGTTTTAGACTACAGATCAACAAAATCCAAATCGGGGGGCCAACTTGAATAAAATATGGGGGGGTAGATAAGCCCAGCCCTGTGTAATCAATCACAATACACCATTTGAATGGCAATGCCCATCAATGGGGGGGCAGCCTTCTCAAATATTTTATTGGGAAAGGGCCCGAAGGGACCTTGGCCCCTAGGAGTCGGCTCCTGTGACCCATACTATAGGCTGGAGCATCACATTTTCGACGACTTAAAAAGGCTGTTGGGAGAGGAGTGTGGCTCCTCTTCAAAAGTGCCGCTACTCCATCCAGAGCTGAAGAATATCCTTGTCGAGAGCAGTAACAGTGGCAGAGAAATTTGCGGCTACCGTTGCCACAAGCAAAACTGGACTCCGACCTGGTGGTGGTGGTGGGATTTAGGGGAAGTGAGGGGCCCCATCACCAGCCCTGTGCCAAGGTCCCTGCAAAATCCGGCATTGGCCCTGCCGCAATCCTCTGTTTGCCACAAGCAGATCGTAAGGTGCACTGCCCACTGTTGAAAAGCACCTGGGTGTCGGATCAGTGGGGAGGGTGGTGAATGGCAGCAGGACTGGTTCAGGCCAGTGAGGGACCCTTCCAAATTCTTGGGGGCCCTGGCCAGTGACTGATATAGTTGACTGCTGGCACCAGGCATGGACTGACGGTGTGCCTTGATAGGGCTGGTCATTCGGGTGCAAAGTGTTCAAAACAGGAGCCTTGCATTTTATTCCACACTCTGTAATGTCTAGGACAGCTTACCCATGTAATGACACGGTGGTGTTGTGGTTTCCCCATCCCACATCATTAGTGGGAAAATGCACGGCACTGTGACACCCAGTTACAGGGAAATTGTCCTAGGCATTATGGAAAGCAGGGTGGGCAGGGAACTGGACAAATCATTGCCATTGCTGGCTGCAACTGTGCATTTAAGCTCACTTGTAGTTTTGGTGTGAGGCACCGTCACAAGGTATGTTAAAAATGCAAAGTCTGAATTGAAATCAAATCAATAGTTTTCACAAAAGGAAAACAAAAGGGCATTCTTGTCAGATAAGCTTAAAACAGAACACCACTGCTGAGATTGAGGCACGTTTCTGCTATGTGATTAGGTATAACTTTACTGCAGGAAAAGGATCTCTCCATCTCTCAAACACATTCATGTTTCCCTGGTGATGGTCGTAGTAGTGGAGGACAATAATAATTGTGGAATAAATACGGGACACAAATTGCAGATGAGGCATGCTAGTAGCCACAATGCCCATATTCCACCTCCTCTGACTTCTTGTATTCTTATGCTCTTCTGCAGTATGTTCCCCACCCCCATGCTCAACAACACACATTTCTCCAGAAAATGATGTGTCCTGGGCACGGTTCGAAGTTAGCCAGGCACGAGGTACATTTTGCAACCGGGGATTGGCAGATTGCAAGCACTTTGAGAAGTCTTGGCAACACATGTGGTGACTTGAGACTCCAGAAGAAAATTGCCACCACTGATCACTGAGGGTGCAGGAGGAGAAATGCTTCTATGCCCTGCATGCAAGTGAGATAGCTGGCTGCTCCCTTCCCTTTGATGCTTTGCTGCCCCACTCCCCAAAATCATGTAAGTTCAAATCTAGCACAACACTTTACATAAAAATAAAATAAAATAATTATTATACAGTGGTACCTTGGTTCTAGAATGTCTCCTTTGACAAACATTTCAGAAAACCCAGAAGTAAATGCTTCCATTTTTGAACATGCCTCAGAAGTCGAATGGCTTCCACTGTGTGCTTTTCCATTTTCTCAATTAAATTTGCAGACAGCCCTTTGCGCCTTGGTTTTCAAATGTTTTGGAACTCAAACGGTCTTCCGGAATGGATTACGTTTGAGAACTAAGGTACCACTGTAATTAAAATAAAATAAAATAAAATAAAATAAAATAATAATGTCAGCATTTGTAAATATCAATTATTCAATTGACTTATGGTTTTTGGCCACTATTGCAGGGGCCGAGCCCCATTTACGTTTGTGGTGTCCAATTAAGAATTGCTATTAAAAATGTGATATCAACAATGTGTCGCTGATGTGAACTGTGTATTAGTTTTTGTGTTTCAAAAATATAAATTGAAAGTTTGGCAGAATTGGGGGGGGGGGAATAATGCGACTAGACATTTTGTTGTGGTGCCCGTAACTTAGGTTCCAGAGCTTTTCAATAGCTTTTCAAACACTGACCTGGGTCCTGCCACTGTATTAACATCTGGAATCTGGAGCAGCATGGGCAGGGCAGATCCCATGGGTTCGTTCTTTCCACTTGATTGTCAGGCACTTTCCTGGCTGAGACACAATTGAGCAGAAAGGACCCAAATATTTGGCTCTGGCTATGTGATTGCTGGTATTCATACATATATTGTAGCAGCACAAGAAGACTGTTGTGGAAGTGGATCCCACAGTGATGTAAGAATGTGTGAATGGTGTCCCCCTTGTTTGGATGAAGTATAATAGGCTCCACAAACATGGATGGAGCTCCCAAACATTCCTGTGAAGTCATGGGTTGAAGTCATAGGAAATGTCACCTCATTACTTTGGTAACATAGAGAGTTTCAGGTGGGTTCCAAAATATAATTTGTGCCTTTGAACACATTTCCACCACCCCCCATGCCATATCTCAGTTCTGGAACATTTGAATTAACAATGTGCAGAGTGTCTCTCTCTCCCTCTGAGTAACCATACTCTTTGATGTGCCCTGATACTTCTGGGGTTTAGAGGCAACATCATCCAGGTCAGAGGTATGGCTTTCAAGCAGACCGAAGCCCCAGCACCTCTCTCCTTCCTCAGGATGAAAGCAGCAGGCAGCTCCCAGTTTCCACAGACGAATTAATGCATTTTGTGGTGTGCATAATCCACACACATCCATTATTCCTTTGAGCAAATATAGTTGGCATAATTTCCCCCAACATATATTCATTCTGAATTCAGACAGGAATTAATGAATGCAAATCAACAATGGCAGTTATTTTTACACCTTGGGAAAGATACCCTTTTCTGAGGAGAACTTTGAGCCCATCCGATGCTGTCGAAAGCATGAATATGTGAGAGGATGATTATAGTTTGCAGGCCGCCTTGGCAAAGGAATATGGCAAAGTGCCTGAAGAAGCCATGAGTTGACTTCAGGTCTTGTGCGGTCAAGGTTTTTTTTTATATAAAAGAGAATAGAATTCCCCCTGTGTTCCACCAATGTGCTTTATGTTTGCAAAAGAACGATGCATATTCAAGACCTCTTACTAGTTTATTTGTATTAAGTAAAAGGTAAAAAGATAAAGGACCCCTGGAAGGTTAAGTCCAGTCAAAGATGGGGTTGCGGCGCTCATCACGCTTTCGGGCCAAGGGAGTCGGCGTTTGTCCACAGACAGCTTTCCGGGTCATGTGGCCAGCATGACTAAACTGCTTCTGGTGCAATGGAACACCGTGATGGAAACCAGAGCACACAGAAACACTGTTTACCGTCCCGCTGCAGCAGTACCTATTTATCTACTTGCATTGGCATGCTTTCGAACTGCTACGTTGGCAGGAGCTGGGACAGAGCAATGGGAGCTCACTCCGTGGTGGGGATTTGAACTGCCAACTTTCCAATCAGCAAGGCCAAGAGCAGGCATCCCCAAACTCTGCCCTCCAGATGTTTTGGGACTACAATTCCCATCATCCCTGACCACTGGTCCTGTTAGCTAGGGTTGATGGGAGTTGTAGTCCCAAAACATCTGGAGGGCAGAGTTTGGGTGTGCCTGCCCAAGAGGCTCAGTGGTTTAGACCACAGCGCCACCCACGTTCCTCATCTGTATTAAGTGATCCCAAGTGTTCACCCTGGCTTAAGAATGTAGGAAGTACTTTCCTTATCATATCAGAGCGAAAACCAGAATTATTTGCAAGAATACCCGCAAACAGCAGGCATTAGATAGCCCACCAGAAATTAGCCAGTGGTGCACTGGTGCACCAAAGTCACTCATCACATGTGTGTATGGCTATTATTGTATACACACAAAAACCTGACAACCCAGCTGTTAAAAACTGGATATGGATCATGGTTGGGAATAGGGACTGGGGCATTTTCAAGGGAAGGTATTATAACAGAAACAAAGGAATGTTCAAATTCTTCGCTTGCATTATCTCAGAAGTCCTTACCACATCTCTGATAGGTAGATCAATATTTACAAATGCGGCAGATTCAGGGGGCTGAGGCTAACAAAAAAATAATGGCTTCCCTAAGTCCACTGAATGGGTTTTATTCATGGCTGACAGCACAAGATGCTGATTTTAGTGAGATACAGTGGTACCTTGGGTTAAGTACTTAATTAGTTCCGGAGGTCCATACTTAACCTGAAACTGTTCTTAACCTGAAGCACCACTTTAGCTTATGGGGCCTCCTGCTGCTGCCGCGCCACCGGAGCACGATTTCTGTTCTCATCCTGAAGCAAAGTTCTTAACCTGAAGCACTATTTCTGGGTTAGCGGAGTCTGTAACCTGAAGTGTATGTAACCTGAAGCGTATGTAACCCGAGGTACCACTGTACTGGTTTTCACATATGCACACATACTTAAGTGTGGCGCTGTGTAAGGTTAATGGAATGAAAAGGGGGTGTGTGAAATACAGATGATGTACTCCAGTTCCCAGCATTCCTGACCACTGGCTGATGGAAGCTGGAGTCCAACAACATGGTTTTTGCCACTTTGAGGCTCCTTTGGGAGCAAGGAGGGGATATAAATTTAATAAATAGAATTAAGATATCTGGAGGGTCACCGCTATAGATTCTAAAAGAAATGCTTGAGCTGTAGTTTTCTTGTTTGTAGAATTTGGAGTTAACCCGATACATTTTTTTTGTGTCTTGAGAAAGAAATGTCAAAGTACGACCCCTCTCCTGCATGTGAGCAAAATCAGCTGCAAAGTTCTCTGTGGAAGTCTAATGGAGAGGAATGAGAGCTGGCCAAGAACGTAGTAGCCGATTCTCCCGCAGGGGTTCAATCTCCCTATCTTTATTTATTTATTGCATAAAATATATTTAAACTGCCCTTCATCCTTATGGATACCAAGCCGGTGTGCAATGGGCATTGTCAAATTCGCTATGCCAAGATAGAACAACTGGATAGCTCAGTTGGTTAGAGCATAGTGCTGATAACATCAAGGTTGCGGGTTCGATCCCCATATGGGCCAGCTGCAGATTCCCGCATTGCAGGGGGTTGGACTAGATGATCCTCAGGGTCCCTTCCAAACGCCACAATTCTATGAAACGCACTAGTACAAGGAAAAAACCCCACAAATCTGCCAGTGAAACAGATTTTGAAACACCTGTCTTCCCACTCTGCTGACCTTAATGATTCATGGAAAGTCAACTGTGGATAGACTTTGTGCCCTGAGGTCAGTCTCCTTTAGTACTGACATTGCTTGTTCTGGTTGCTGTTTGCCTCTCATTCACTGGCAAGCTGTAACTTACGAGCAAATTGATTTATTATTTCCTTTTTTACAAAACTACCGTAAATCTCCACTGCCCTTTTCCCTTGTCGGAAGAAAACTGACAATTCAAAAATGCTCTGAAGCTAACATCTCTCAAACAAGCAGAGCACAGCAGAGCCACATCTCTGCTTTCCATGTTCAGAAAAACTACAGTGGCTTTTGCCTCCCGGAATATGGGTACTGAATATCCCGCACAGGCTAGTGTAATAATGGCAGTGGGTTGCGAATTACCGGTCTATCCCATCTTAATTCAGGGGAGAAGGGAAGTCTAAAAGATTTACAGTTGTTTTAGAGTCATGGTGATTTGTAGTTAAATGAAACAACTACATCCAGTGATTATAAATACCTATAACTTTAGGGATGGAGAACCTGGCTGTTGCCATTCAGATGTTGATGGACTCTAGATCCTATAAAGTCATTTCCCAGGGTGTGGCGACTGTCAGCTACTAGGAGCCACAGGTGAGAGCTGAGCGCCACAGAATAAATCTTTACAAATAACATCAACCTACCGCTTCCCTCCTAAATCCCTTCTTCTCACTTAAACATATATTGAGTGGTCTCTCATAACACAGTTAACGCTAACCTGTTCCAAATTGTTCAAGGCACAGTTAAGAAAATGCCACCAGCTGTCTGCTTGTTAGCAAAATTACCTCAGGAAGGCTCTCGCCTCGCAGTCGTTCTGCTGCCTGACTTCTGAGGGTGGGACTCTGGAGGCAAAAGCAGATGCCCAGAATTGCTCTGGAAAGCCGAGGAGAACAGTACAGTGTCTTTGTCAATAAACATCAGAACTCTTGTCTTCCATAGGTAGTATCCAAACATATGTGAAACTGGGAACAGAAATGCATCATCACTTTTAATATAAGAGCAGACAGGACGACATTTCTATATGTTATGGGTGGGTGTGGACTTAAGAAATGCCCAGAGTCGACATACATACATAGGAGGATTACTGATTACAGTGGTACCTTGGGTTAAGTACTTAATTCGTTCTGGAGGTCCATACTTAACCTGAAATTGTTCTTAACCTGAAGCACCACTTTAGCTAATGGGGCCTCCTGCTGCTGCCATGCCGCCAGAGCACGATTTCTGGTCCATCCTGAAGCAAGGTTCTTAACCCGAACTACTATTTCTAGGTTAGTGGAGTTTGTAACCTGAAGCGCATGTAACCTGAAGCATATGTAACCCGAGGTACCACTGTATATGGAAAGAAGCCAGCATCTATCAGGAACCCTGCTTCTCAGTTGTTTGTGTACACCAGCTTTTGCCAACTTAACGCCCTTCAGACATTTTGGACTACAACTCCCATCAGCCACTAGGGGTTGATGAGAGTTGTAGTCCCTCCATGACTGGAGGACACCACCTTGCCTACCAATGAACTAGGGCTTGGGTTCACTTGTAGTACTTGCATCATGATGGATAGTGCCCTCTCAAGAACTCTCTCTGCATGCGTGCAGAGAGAATTGTCACCAAAAAATAGGCTAGGCTATAATGAACCGTTCTGAGGTAATTTTAGTCTGTGGGCAGTCAATGGTACCACCAGACAGCACTCTGTAACTAGGCCCTGAAATGTTGTAGGAGATTTTCAGTGTGGGTTAAACAAGCTCAATGGTTTATTGAGAGATGTGTGTATTATTTGAGATTGTGTATTGGTGTGTTGTGTTCTTTCATCCTGGTGGAATGTTTGATTTGGGTGGGGCGAACCTGAAGTGTGCAATTTGTATAGCACAGTGACAATAAGCCTGTTATGAGTAATCAAAACTGTCCTCATTCTTGGACAGTTGTCCAAGACCCATGTCTTGGAGAGTATGGCAAGCATTGGATGCTGCCCCATTGGGGTAAATGGGGCACTGCCCCACCAACCTCTGCCTACTCTCAGCCTGCTCCCACCTGTCTGCTTTCTTATTTACAACAAGTCCAGCAGGCAGCCCTGTCTGTCAACTGCCTCCTCTTTAGTCATGATGTTGCCTTTGTATAACTCAGCAGGGAGAAGAACTGGAACCAAACTAGAATTAGTTGGTTCTGCCTCCTGTTGGCTCTGGATCCAAGTACTGTTGACCTCTCTGCCTTCCTTCCTACCCTACCCAGGAAGCACCAGTCACTAGTGCAAGCAAGTAAGCACCAAAGAGATCAAAACTTAACTTTGGTGTGAATATGCATAGGATCAATGTTCAAGGAAATATAACTTTTAAAGTTCGTGTACAGAGTTACAACAGATCTCTGCTGGCCCTATACAGGCACTGTGAATGATGAGAAGTTACCAGGAATTAGCCTCCCTTGGAAGAAGAGATCACTAGAGACTTACGGGGTTTTATAATATGTGGATAAGCCTGCAATTCAATGCACAATTACTTGGAAGTACTGTAAGCTCCACTGGCCTCAGTGGGACTACTTTCTGGATGAAGCCCCTCCCTCTCTCTGTTTAGGGTTTTATTTTTACCTTTAAACCAGATATTGGCTGGACAGCCATTCAAACAGAGGGGCTATCCTCTGCAAGGGACGCAGGTGGCACTGTGGTGTAAACCACAGAGCCTAGGGCTTGCCAATCGGAAGGTCGGCAGTTCGAATCCCCGCAACGGGGTGAGCTCCTGTTGCTCGGTCCCAGCTCCTGCCCACCTAGCAGTTCAAAAGCACGTCAAGTGCAAGTAGATAAATAGGTACCGCTCCGGCGGGAAGGTAAACGGCATTTCCATGCACTGCTCTGGTTCACCAGAAGCAGCTTAGTCATGCTGGTCACAGGACCCAGAAGCTGTCTGCGGACAAATACTGGCTCCCTTGGCCTACAGAGTGACATGAGCGCCGCAACCCCAGAGTCATCCATGACTGGACCTAATGGTCAGGGGTACCTTTACCTTTATCCTCTGCAAAGGACAACAGCTGGCCACCCGAATGCTTTCAGATCCTCAGAGTCATTCTTACCCAAGTTGCTTTTATCATTTAGCTCACACTCTGCCTCTCCTCTTCAGTCTGGAGTCACTTTCCAACAGTCAGAAAAATGCTTCTTTAGTTACCCCTCACACAGAGACTTTCCCATCAGCTTCATTCTCTCCATCAATGGGAGTCATCTTCTGGTAGCTCTCTGGTTCAGAATATTTCAGAAATATCTCCAATAATTTCCCTGCCATTAGCACCATTAAGGAGCCATCAGCAACTCATCTCAAGTCATCCTTTGTGCAGTCCTGTAGCTGATTGTGTGTGTGTTTGTTTCTGTGAGAGAGAGAACGGCTTGCTGGCCCATTATGCTTCCATGTTGCAGATCTGCAATTTTGGACAAACGCAGCCCAAGACGTCAGATTATTAGAAAAATCTGGAAGCTGGACATGTATACACTTCTACATTGATTGGGGTGGGGACTGTTAGTGTATGTCGTAAAGGAACAGTAGCAAGAAATCTGATTCGCATATGGTCTGAACCACTGAGATTATAAGAAAAAGTGGTACCTGGACTTTTTAGAACCTTTCCCCAGACACCATTTTCTGTTTGGAGCAATATTATTAGCAGTACCAGGAGCAATGGTAGTACGTTTATATACTGCTTAATGCCAAAATAGGTTTCTAAACAGTTTACAAAGTGTGGAAGAGGTAAGTGCAATGAGATCGTCTGGCCCAAGCTCTTTCCCTCTTGATCCTGGAGTTGGTAATTAAGGGCTAGGATTTTGGCGAGAGGGGATGAGAAAAGAACAGCAGACACCATGTATCTCTTTTTTCTTCTCTCTTTCTCTCTCTGATACTGGCATCCAGCTTAGAAACAGTGACCTCTTCTGTGAAAGAAATTATCTTCCAGCGGTAGTGGAAAGAGAGATGAAATGTTGTGGTGGAGGAGGGAATGATTAACAGGGCAAAAACAAGTTATTTGCCTCCCCCTCATTCTTCCTGGAGATTTCTGAGCAGTTACAGCTTGCTTACAAGGCAAGCGAGATGCTTAAATGGTGTCTGCACTGCCATCGTGAAAAATGATTTAACATTTTTGCTTCTGAATGCAACGTTCCCTTGTTTCCCCCATAGGGTGTGCTTCTTTGAGTCTCGCCCACAGTTATATTTACACATGCTTCTGAGGCATTTCTTTCTATTTGGGAGCCGGGTTAATCCCCCTTTTTTGCCTCTGTCCTCCATTTTACTGGGTGGGTGGGCAGAGTTGTTTTAAACTGACACAGGAACAAGTCTTGCAGCTGCTCTCAACCACAGACTCCCACATGCCCGTGTGTTGTGTTATGCACCTGAATGGGGTTTACGTGGTGCCTTGGGGTTGGGACTGGGAGTCTGGCCCTACCCCTGGTATCAGACGGCTGCCCAGGGGTATCTGCCCAGTGAGTGCAGGCATTTGAAAAGGAGCTATCTGCACAGGATCAGCTATTCATGCCTAGAAGCTCCAGGTCCACACTCAAAACAAGGCTGTGATGGGATTCTTCATCAGAGGTTTTTAAACAGAGTTTGGATGACCATCTGTCAGGGACACTTTAGCTGTCCTTCCTGCATTGCAGTTCTATGAGTCTATGTTGCAAGTGGGGCTAACTCAGTCATGTGACTCTCCATGCATGTAATCTACATATGAAGAGGGCTGCACTCTGCCTGACTTGTAATTTCCTCCATCTTTCTGTGAACTCAACTCCCAACAACATCCCGTAAGATCACAGTTTTGTTCCACTTTTTTTAAAAAAGTGAATCACTTCGCAAACTCATGCCCCACTGGAAAGCTAGGGTGTCCCCCCAAATATGTAGAAGCCACTGGCTGATTTTGGAGGGCTCTGCTCCACCTCCAGGCTGATGTAAACTCAACCACCTAAGTAACTTAGTAGACAGTATATCATCCTTTATCTATTGACCTGCACTTGTAAGTTACAATACCCCAAACCCACTGTATATTAAAGGCATCCCAATGCTTTCTTCTTCTTTTTTAACATCTTTATTGAAAGTTCAAAAATTACATAATTATATGTGTACTAAACATGGTGAGACTTAAATAAAAAAGAGAAAGAGAGAAAGAGAGAAAGAGAAACAGAGCCCTTGTAGAAGGGAAAATAAAGGGGAGAGGGGGGAAAACTGTATCTTTTACAAGGTTATTATTGTACTTCACCAGATCTTAACCTATTACAGTATTTGTAAGAATGGATTCCAAATATCATTGAATTAGTCCATGGCAAGTCTGCGTTTATATGCAAGTTGTTCATATGTTGCGAGTTTGTACAGTATAAGTCTTTGTTGCAAGTTTTTACAGTATAAGCCTTTTTATTTTTCCATTTTATCAGTATCAGTCTTTTTGCTGTGGTAAGGGCACGGAGAGTCTACTTATACTGTCCTTTTGCAAGGTTCCATGTGCTGGGTATATAATTCAAGAGGATATTTTGCTCAGTAAATGTAAGGTTGTTCCGTACAGTTCTGTTGATGGTTTCAGTTACTTTCTGCCAAAAACCTTTCACTATAGGACAATGGAAAAACATATGTTTTAAAGAAGCATTATCCCTATTGCGTCTCCAACAAGGGGGTCCAGTATATTCTAAATATTATTGTTTTGTTGTTTGAGCCTCAATTTAAGCCCAGTGCTTTCTCACAACCTGGCCAACCCATCCATGGAAGAGCTTCAGAAAGATGGCCTTATCATTCAGGCAGGTTCATGTGGGAGCAAGGAAGATTCTTCTTAGACTTAGAGGATTTACGTTGCTGGGAGCAGCCTTGTGTTAACAACTTGTGACCAGGAACTGCATGCAGATGAGTGAGTGGGCTGGCAGAGGAACGGAACGTTGTGTCCCATCTCCAACATCCTTCTCTGTTTCCATGCTCTGAAGGCAGGGAAGTCTCTTCTTCCTCCATGACCAATATGGAAATGCAGAGCGGGGGGTGTGTGTGGTGACCTGATCCTCCTCTCCCAGCCCATCTGGTGGAAGTCAGCTTTTTTGTTTGTTTGCTTCCTTGCTAGCCTAGTAGACTGCATTTCAGTGCTGGGCATGAAGAAGGAAAAGGCTTCACAGAAGCTAAAATGCTCATGGACACTTCAACATGTAATAAAACATTCTGACCTCTTCTGCCCAGTACATTTAAGGCAGCATTATTCCACTTTAAGCAGTCGTGGCTTCCCTCAAAGAACCATGGGAACTGTAGTTTGCTGGACTTTGTTGAGAGACTCCTCTTCCCCTCACAGAGCTACAATTCTCAGAGTTCTCTGGGAAGAGGGGTTGATTGTTAAATCACACTGGGGCCTGTAGCTCTGTGAGGGCACTAGGGGTCTCCTAGTAACCCTCAGAACCCTTAATGAACTACAGTTCCCAGGATTCTTTGGGGGGAGCCATGACTGTTTGAAGATACTGCTTGAAATCTCTGGTGCAGACGAGGCCTTAGTGGGCATCACATTTTTGTATGTGGTGCTCTCTGTGTGCTATCTCTACTTTTTCTACTAGTCCAGAGCACTATCTTTTTAAAAAGAAAGAAAGAAAAGAAAGCTCTTAGGACTAGGACTAAAAGCCTTAATTGCCGTGATTAATTGCAGATTAAAAGTGTGGGCTGTTAATCACAGTAGTACCCCATGGGGTGGGGTGGGGGAAGGAGCTAATGGCAGTGTTGCTAAACAAGCACTATGCATTGCTTGGCTGAAGGTTTCCCACACAGTGAATTATTTGCTTGTGCCACTTAGTAAAAAGAAACTCTTCTCTCCATCCTCACCACTAAATAGCTTGGAAATATCACCTGAACTGAGGCTGCACCACAATACCTTTGAAGCACATTCAAGGCACATTCTTTACCTCAAAGGATTCTGGGCACTGTAGTTCGTTAAGGGTTGCTGAGGATTGTGACTCTGTGAGGGGTAAACTACATTGCCCAGAATTCTATGAGGGAAAGAATGTGCTTTAAAGATACGGCGTGCCTATGGTACCTGAGATAGTTGTTTTGAATTTCAGGTGAGATACCCACACAGTTGCTCCCAGTACCATTCACCACAAGGAAGCAGTGTAAGGTCCAAATGAATGTGGTAGAAGATAAGGCTCAGTAAAATAGTTCTGGACATAGATACAGACATATACAGATACTTACAAGTGCAAAGTGTCTCCATTGCTCCAAATAAACTGCAGTAATTCAAGATGTAACATGGACAGGTAATACCAACAGACTGACAACTCACAGACAAACTGACGGAGCTGACATACATTAATCACAGATATAGTCAGGGTACTCGGCCTTTGACATAGCAAATGGCTTGGCTGACCTTGCACCTGTGATTAGCTCATCCACTCAGTTATTTTCAGCTCATGAATGAAATCAACCCCTTCTCATGTTCATTTATTCCAACAGTAGTGACATATTGATTTCTAAGCAGATAATTAACTAAATAAGCATTTGTTGTGTACAACTATGGGCCAGTGTAGATGGTACAATAAATATGTGGCTGCTGAGAGTGTTTTCTGAATATAGGGAAAGCCAAATGTGTCACTTTCGATTTCTCATATTTCTAATCTTAAATTCAGTCTTCCACATTTCCTCATCAGGTTGCATTTTATTTTTTAAAAAAACCTCTTGAAGATTTATCAGTGTTTAGTCTTTGTTTTCCTAATGTACAGTTGTTTGAATGCAATTTTGCCTAATATACTCATTTTTGCAAAGCAGTTTCCTCTAATGTATGCTATTTTCACTACTATGTGCATTTTTCTGCACACTTTGGTATATGCTTTTTTTGTATACATTGCTTGGCCAGAGAACTGCACTGCAAAATTTCAAGAAGTGTGAATTTCAGTGGATGGTTCTTGTCTACTTGGGAAAGTGCAGATTAGGTAGGTTCACCTTTAAATGCGAACTGAATCAAATTTCTGCCCCATCCCTAGCTGTATATGTATTAGATGTGGTCTGTATATCTGTATACATTGTGTGTGCGCGTGTGCATATGCTTTGACCACGCCCACTGCTGCCATGACTCCCAGAGGGTGGTTAATCATCAAATGTGGCCCCAAGGCAGAAAATGTTAGCCATTCCTGTACTAGACATCAATGAGGGAGAGCTAAATGAACTTTTGCCATAGTTTTACTGGCAGCCATGTGTTTAATATAAAGTGCAAAGACAAGCACCAGATTCTCTGGTGGCCCACTGGAATGCAGAGTTAACCAGGGCTATTGGCTGTCTGGCTCTGAAGCGTCCTCTCTGATTGCATGGTTTTCCCAGAGCTGAGGGCGATGAAACAATCGCTGAGACGGTTAGAGCACCGGTGAAGGAAAACTCATTCTGAATCAGACTGAAAATGGGTTAGAGCTCAACGTCGAGCCTACCACGTGGTGATAGCCACAGCGGAGAGGACCTTCTTCACTGCCTCTATTGCATCTGCAGAAAACAGCAGCAGGAGACTCTTTCAGGTGGTTCGCAATCTAACAGAATCACTTTTGCCATCGGGGTCTGGTGAAGACCCCAAGATTTCCTGCAATGATTTTGCAAAGTTTTTTGCAGATAAAGTTGTTCAGATTCAGAAAGAGGTAGATTCCACCGTGGTAGTGGGGCCAGGGCAGGAGAGTGCTAGAGTCCTGTCTGGTCAATTTGCATGGGATCAGTTCTAATCTGTTACCTCTGAGAACGTGGACAGGCTGCTTGGACGAGTGAAACTGACCACCTGTCGTCTTGTTCCTTGCCCATCCTGGCTCATAAAAGCGAGCCGGGAAGGGCTGGGCGATAGGCTCTGCTGGGTGGCGAATGCCTCCCTCTGTGAGGGAGTCTTCCTAGACCTGCTTAAAGAAGCGGTTATTAAACCGCTTCTTTAAAAACCATCTTTGGACCCGGCCAATATGTCCAACTATCGCCCAGTCTCAAATCTTCCATTCTTGGGCAAGGTGATTGAGCAGGTGGTCGCTGAACAACTCCAGGCATGCTTGGAGGATGCGGACCACTTGGATCCCTTCCAATCAGGATTCAGGCCTCATCATGGGACTGAGACTGCTTTGGTCACTCTAGCTGATGATCTCCGGTGGGCCAGGGGCTGAGGTAAAAAGCTGTGTTCTGGTCCTGCTGGATCTCTCAGCAGCCTTTGACACCATTGATTATGACATCCTTCAGGACCATCTAGAGGAGTTGGAAGCTGGGGGCACTGTTATACAGTGGTTCCATTCCTTCCTCCTGGGCCGTGTCCAGAAAATGGTGTTAGGGGGTGAGTGTTCAGACCCCTGGGCTCTCACTTGTGGGGTGCCTCAGGGCTCTGTCCTCTCCCCCATGCTTTTTAACTTCTGTATGAAGCTGCTGGGAGAGATCGTCAGGGGGTTTGGGCTGGGTGTTCACCAGTATGCAAATGATACCCAGCTCTACCTTTCCTTCAGATCTGATCCTGTGAATGCAGTGGAAGTGTGAGTATCTGGAGGCAGATGGAGGAGGCAGATGGAGGATGGATGGCAGCTAACAGATTGAGGTTGAATCCTGACAAGACAGAAGTACTGTTTTGGGGAAACAGGTGGCGGGCAGGCATGAGGGACTCCCTTGTCCTGAATGGGGTAACTGTGCCCCTGAAGGACCAGGTGCACAGCCTGGGAGTCATTTCAGACTCACACATGTCCATGAAGGTGCAGGTCAATTCTGTGCCCAAAGCAGCTGCCCAGGGTGGCTGGGGAAACCCAGCCAGATAGGTGGGGTATAAATAAAATCATCATCTTCTTCATCGTCATCATCAGTGGTTGCTACCGAATACTGACAAATACTAACTGCCACTGCATGTCAACTGTCATATATTGCCAAGTATCGAATACTGAACAAAAAGCATTGCTTGTAAAAGATAGCACATAAGCAGTGTATATATCCACAAATATTCAAAGAATCAGACAACAGATGGTGAATATTTGACCTTGAAATTTTGAAAGGAAGAGTTCTGAAAGCATATTTGATTCAGATCCAGATTTAACCCTTTCGTCATTAGAAGATGACTACACAGTGCACTTAAATCAACAGTTTGGGTATGTGAATAATAGAATTGTAGGGTTGGAAGGAATCCCGATTGTCATCTAGTCCAACCCCCTGCAATGCAGGAATCTCAACTAAAGCATCCATGAGAAATGGCCAACATCTGCTTAAAAACCTCCAAGGAAGGACAGTCCACCACTTCTCATGGTAGTCTGTTCCACTATCAAACAACTCTGACTATCACCAGGTTGGGCACTGCATCCACCAAACTTAATTCCCCCTCTAGGTTCCTTTAGAACATGAATTAGTAGTTCTCTTTAGGAGGTTAAATTTCAAGGGAGAATGTGCTTCCCCTGTAATCCCATTTAACCACCCCAAAGGGGCTGTGAAGGCACAGAGCCCTTTCAGCTTAAAGGATCCCATAGAGATGGAGAATCAGATCCATTCCCTGACCTCATCGAGTGTGCAACTTACCATATTTTTCACCCTATAGGATGCACTTTTTCCCCTCCAAAAATGAAGGGGAAATGTGTGTGCGTCCTATGGGGCGAATGCAGGCTTTCGCTGAAGCCTGGAGAGCGAGAGGGGTCAGTGTGCACCGACCCCTCTCGCTCTCCAGGCTTCGCGCACCTCTCCGCAAGCAGCGGGAGCCGGTGCTGGGCTCCCACAGCTTCGAGAGAGCGGCCTGTTCTGGGGGCTGGGGTTGGGGGAAGCTCAGGCTTCCCCCGCCCCCGCCCCCGGCGGGGGGGAAGATAATTTTCCCCCCGTTATTTCCCCCCCAAAAAACTAGATGCGCCTTATGGGATGGTGCGTCCTATAGGGCGAAAAATACGGTATAACACCAACTTTCATTCTAAAAGCAGAAAGGGAGCTGGCTTTCCCCTAAAGGCTTGTGTGTTTCTGAAGTCTGCCACCATGCCCTCCCAAGACTACTTCCAGGGAATTTCAGGTTGTACAATTAAATATGATTTTGAGTTCTTGGAGAACCTGCCTACCCAGAGAAATCTGACTTTCTTTCCTCTCTCTTTTTAACTGTAAGGAAAGTGACGGGGAAATGCACTTGAAAGTGTGGAGATAAAAATGTTTGATGTGATGATATATAACCTCTCCACAAACAAAGAATAATGCATAATAAACAGGTTGTCTGGAAGTGAACTAAGGTACCCTGGCAGCAACTCTTGGTATTGCCATGTTGGGGTTCCTCCTCCCTTTTAATTAAGCGTTAAAGGCCAATTGGTCAGCTGTATTAGGTGACCTGCCACCAACCTTCTTCAAAGCTTGCTGATTCCTTTTCCTAAACAAGCCCATCACTTTTAATCCCTGTTCATAAGAGCAGAAGGTACTCTACTGCAAAGGCCATTAAAATTAAAAAAAAGCATTCGGGGGAAGCTCATCATGAATGAGAATTAACTGAGCCATGGCTCAGTGAAGAAAAGGACCTGGGGTGGTGTTCTTTTTTGTTTCCAAATTGCTCAAATGAGTTAATAACTTTTCAGATTTATCCTACAGTTCGTGTGGCATACGGGTGACACTCCAAAGAAATCAGCTTGCCATTCATGTGCTCACATTTATTCAATCAAACTCTCATGATTATCCATTAGTGGTTCTGTCAGATGAAAAAGTGCAGGGGATACAAGTAGGGTTCAACAAGATAATTTAACCCATCATTGCCTTGTCTTCTTCATTTGTTTCACCTCCAGAATACGTAAATCTTCATTCTTGGGTTTCATTTGAGCTGGGGCTTCACTCCAGCCCTGGAGCATGTGAAATAGCAATAAGGATAAGGGTGATGAGCTCACAGAGGCTGTATTTGGACATCATGGTTAATGATAGTTTGCTGTAATGGGAATTAACGAGGCTCCTCCCTATACTTGCATGTGCCCCGCAAGGTGTAGATCAGAAGCTTTCACTTCTGATTTCAGTTCAGCAAAGTTTTGGATTAGTCTGAATCCTAAATATGGTTAATGTTGACTATGGGTTTTTTTGTTTCGTTTTTTAAGATGGATTCACTAACCATGGTTGGAAGTTGGCTTCTTTCAAACAAACCATAGTTAAGATCAAACACAATGTGCTGGGTTCAGTTAATGGGAAATAGAAGCAAAAAATTCCAGACTTCTCCCTGTGGCCATGCTAAAAGAGGAGAGGGAGTACATGAGACTGAAAGCAGCTAGGCATGTTTCCATCACACTACACCGTAGTTTACTGTGGTGCCCAAACACAGCCTGTATATGCTCAGATACCTCTTTTTCTTTATTACTGTTTCACATACTCCTGGGCTACAGCATGTTTAAACCCATACTTTATCCTGACATCTAAACACAGGCATTATGTCCTCAGTCTCCCCATTTTCATTATTACTATTTAATACACTCCAGGGCTAAACCATGGTTTATTGTTACCTGCTCTGAGACCCCACAGCTAATTCTCCCCTGGCCTCCTCGCTGGCCCAAGTAGGACCAATTCAGCCAGCTAGCCCTGGTGATTACCTAATGCTTATTTCCCCTAAATTGATTTCTGAATTTTGAATTTTATTGTTGTTCACGTTTTTATACTGTATTTTATGCTGCTTTTGCAATTAAGTGTTTTAAATTTGTTGTTAGCCGCCCTGAGCCTGGTTTTTGAACCAGGAAGGGTGGGGTATAAATAAAAATTATTATTATTATTATTTATTGTGCAGTCCGAATGCAGCTGCATAGACCACAGAGATTACAAGAGCGGGTCTCCTGGTCAAAGGGCATGCATTTCAGAGAGCCTAGAGCTGTGACATGTTTCCTTTTAGAAATCAAATTCTGCCTTTTTAATTCAAGCATCTCTCCCCCTCTCTCCCAGAGACATTGTTCTGTTTGGCTGTAAACAGCAGGAAGAATTATTTGCCCAATAAAGTGCGGCAATTATCTTGTAATGAGAGTGTCCAGAGCCCTGTTGGCGAATTCTTCCGAAGCTGCAACCCCATCCATCTTCCTTCTCCAGAGCTGTCAGGGCACTTCCTGACACAGCAATCACATCTTGTTGCAGACACCGAAATGTCTGGACCAACAGTGTACCCTTCTCATCAGCATATATCTGCAAGTGTTACTTAGGCTGAAGGAAGGCATCCTCCTTCACATTTGCCTTTCATATGTCATAGCACCTTCAAGGTTTACCCTGAGCAATATAGGTGCCTGCTCGCTCCACAAGCAGGTAATTACACTATCAGAGGACAGCGCTTTCATTTTTATTTTTTAATACGATGCGCTATAAACAGGAGCGAAGAAAAGGATGGAAAGATTTCTCCGCCCCGAATCCAGCAGACCTGGCAACCCTACTTACAGCAAGCTGCTATCATCATCTCACACTGCTTGTGAACCTCACTGCAGTTTTGAAAAGGAATATTCATTGAGGGGAGAGATGGCACTTTACAGGCAATCAGTGGGGGATGAAGGAAAATGGATAGAGGAATTCCCATGCTGAAAATACTCTGAATGATCAAATATGTCCCAAGTATAACAGAATATTGGACATTTACATGAGCTTTCCTTGTTAAGTGGGGCCTGCCAAAGCAATTAAAATATGCCAATATATATAAATGCACATTTAGTACCTTCGGAAACGTTAGCTCGTTTGCTTTTTTAAAAAGCCACCATTCAGCGTTTAAATTACAAGGTCTCCTTTTTGCCAATTTTGAACATTCGTGGATATTTGTTTCACTTTTTCTCATAGTTCTGCTCTCCAACATTTGTGCTGGTGGAATGAAAAGCCACATTACTGCAGTCATTCCTACACTCCACTCAGCCTTTCAGAATGAGCTGCCATAGACTCATAACGTTACTGAATTTTAAGAGTTGGAAGCAGCCTCAGAGGTCGTCCAGTCCAGTCCAGTCCAGTTATCTGCAAGCCACATTTTCCACAAGTGCATTGGATTGGCTCCAAATTAAGTTAGTCGCACTTCAGTGCAATCAATTCAACAAGCTAGTCATGACTTAATTTTAAGACCCATTGATTCCAAAGGGAACAAAGTACAACTAGCTTACAGCGCTAGTAATACATTGGAGTAATACATGATTACTCCAAAGTGTGCTCCACTGACTTCTATGGGACTTGATCACAGGTAAGTTGGTATAGGAATTGCAGCCTTACTCTGGTTCCAATCTATTGCACCCAGAGCAGTTCACAGAAAATAGCAGAAAAGTCATAACCCACAATAACATTTTTAATACTGCTACAACACGACAATTCCAGTTAGCAATTCATTTAAAGCACATCAAAGGTTTGAGCATACTAATGAGTCAATTAACAACCTACAGAACCCCTCAATAGAATACATCTGGCAAAGGAGACTGCCTCACCTCTGGAGGACCTTGCCCCAAAACTATCAATTGAGAGAGGGAATAGGACAGAGAATGGAAGGGTATAGAGACCATTTCCTCCCCTGCAGCCTCACGGCATTAGCCTCTCCTTCTCACACAGGTTATTCTCTTCTGGATCAACCTTGCTGCAGCTTCCATCCAGGATGAACACTGTGAGAACCTTTCTCTGGACACCAACATCACTGGTAAGTGGGCTCCTGCTATTTGGCTCTTGTCTCCGGAAAACCATTACACTATCCTGCTTTGTGGACAGGGGAAATGCAAGCACTCACCAAGGTTTTGAGACTACAAGGTTGATCTCTGTGTTTTGACACGAAGGTTTGTGCCCAGTGGCCTGGCTTCAGCAAATGGTTGGCAGTGGATAACCTGACTCTTTAAGACCAAGGGTAGGGAATTTCAGGCCTGGAGGCCGTGAGTGACACTCCAGGGACAGATCTACACTCATGGTTTTTAATTTCTTCTTTTTCTTCTTCTTCCTTAATTTTTAATTTTATTTTGACAAAGTAATAATTATAAATAAATAAGAATAAAAACGCGCACCCCACCACTGAGACCCTTCCCTCCTCCCAACCTCCCAAAATTTCAACACCTCTTGCGATGGATTGACCCCTTTCCGTTTTAACGGTACAAATTCTACAAACACCCTCCATATCTCCTCAAAATAATTTCTCCTGCATATTCCCCGTCTTACCTTAATGGCATATGTTAATTTATCATCAATTGCTATACCCTACACCACTTTATACCATTCTGCTTGCCCCTGCCACTTCCTAGCTACAATAATATGTGCAGCTGTCAATAAATTTATGAGCAAGTCCTTCATAGCCTGTGAACCTTCCACCCCATCGTAAATGGGGTAAATTGATAACAATGCTATGTTTTTAATGTTAAGGAAGGGTTAAGGAATGGTTTGGATAACCATATGGCCGCATGACATTCTACTTTTAACGTTCATTATGCATTACTAAAATGTGACACCTTTGCTGCAGAGCAACCAGCAACTAGCAGTAGGGAAACAGCATTCTGACAGAGATAAGAAACACCCCCCCCCCCAAGTATGCCCTGTGATGTTTTAGAACAATATATCCAATACCGTTCTAATAACGTTAAACAGGTCAGTGTAGATCCAGCCCACGCCTCTCTATGCAGCCCCTGGAACTCTCCAGCCCCCCCTGCTTCCTCTTCAGTTTTTGCCTGGCTGGACTGTGTTCTTGAGCTTTGATGATGCCTCCTGCTTTCATGGATGGAGAGGGGAGATTGCAAGAAGTAGGGGAAGCCCTCAAGCAGGACCTGAATCACAGCAATCTTCCATCCTGTGATCTCCAGCAACTGGTATTTGGAAGCATTATTGCCTGCAGCTGTGGAGTCAGAGCACAGCCATCATGGCTAGTAGCCATTGTTAGACTCCTCCACAAATATGTCCAATGCTTTTTTAAAGCCGTCTAAGTTGGGGGCCATCTAGAGCCTGGATAGCTGAGTTGGTTACAGTGTGGTGGTGATAACGCTAAGGTTGGGGCAGCTGTGAAGTGTAGGTGGGTTCCCACGAGGCAAGACACAGTGATAACAGCAAGAACTTTTACTGAACTAACAGAACTGGACAACCGGGGCAAAGCAACTGCTTATATACATTTCTGAAGGCCTGGGCCACTCCCACTCCCAACGCGATTGGCTGTCTAAACGTCCAAGCTGCGAATCATAACTTAGTGTTTAAGGGCCAATGGCAGAGGCCCAAGTCTTGAAATGTTCTGGGATTGGATATCATGTATCAAATCAGAACACAGGGGCTCCGATTCCTTAGTCCAGACTCAAGCTCAGGCAAACACAGACCACTGAATACATAATAAGCTGCATATTCCAACATTCAGCTTCATTGGATGTCCATGATTTCTGGTGTTACAGGAGAGAGAGAAAAATCTCTTCTCTGTCTACTTGCTCCATTCCACGCGTAAATTTTACAAATTTCTATCATGTCACTTCTTCCCTGCCTTCTCTGTAAACTAAAAAGTCCCAAACACTGCAAACCTTCTCCAAAAAGGAGTCGCTCCACCCCTTGATCACTTTGGTTGTCCCCTTCATTTATTTTTTAAAAAATATTTTCTTAAGGTTTATGGAGAAAAATACAAAACTTAATATCTTTTCCCTTTTTATTTTTTTAAAAAACCCAAACCAAGACTTTGATCTAGATACAATAAAAACACAAAAATGGGAGAGAGAGAGAGAGAGAGGTTAAGAGAGAAAGATAGAAAAATAAGATTCAGAAAATAAAGAAGTTCCAATTCTTCATCTGTTCGCTGTAAAAGAAACAATATTCACTCTGTTGTTGTTTAGTCGTTTCGTCGTGTCCAACTCTTCATGACCCCATGGACGAGAGCATGTCAGGCACTCCTGTCTTCCACTGCCTCCTGCAGTTTGATCCAATATGAAAGCCAACAAAGCCACTTTCTATAAACAAACATTATTTCAATCCTCAAATGCTCCTTTCCTGAAACTTTTCCAACTATAGGTTCCTGGAATGTCACCCTCAAACTGAAAAAGGTTCATCCCGGCAGCGGCGGAGCAAGCCGATCGGGTGCCTAGGGTGGTGCACGTGCCCTGCTCCCAGGGCTAAGGCCAGTGGCCCGCAGGGCGGGGCCGAGCCAGGGCAGGACGCTCCGCGGGGCCTCCGAGGCGTCTGCCTGCCTCCTCCCATTCAGCCGCCCTACAGCTGGGGGGGGGAGGCAGCAGGCAGACCATTTGTGAGACGCGTGGCTCGGGTGCACTGCAGGCCCCACAGTGAGTGCTGCCCAGCATTTTGTCACCCCCCTCAGTGGTGACACTGAGGGCGACACCCCCTTCCACACACCCCTTCTTCCGCCCCTGCATCCCAGTCCTGATTAGGTTCTAATCGCCTAAAGAATGGGGAATGAGGCTGATATTGACTCATGAGTGAGGCAGGAGCAATTGTTATGCTTCCTAGCCCTGAGGATAGTTCAGTGATTTGTGTGCAGTGGGGTAGGAGACCCGAGGACACAGTATGGATAAACTCCCTTCTCCAGCTTGTGTTTGACAACACTGGGCTTAGAATCATACTAGTCAAGACTCTGCTCCACCCAAACCAGAAATGCCCGGTGTAAATGGCATTCATTAAATTCATATTAATTAACTTGCAAGTTAATTTCCTGCCTAATTAAGGAGCACGCTTTGCCGCAGCTACTCCTTCGTGTGGATTGCATCTGCCAAGTCATTAAATCATACTGAGTAATTTTATAAAGCACGCTCGGATGAAGAGTTTCTGATTTGGGTCATGGGTTAAGTGTAAAGGGAATGGAGAGTGTTCTAGGCTAGGCAGGAGACAGAAAGCGAGACCTGTTTGGCTAGTTGCTCCTCCCCAGGGCCTTATTCATCTGTCAGGGCTCCTTTGATAAGTACATGACACCCTCCATTAAAAGGTAAAGGTAAAGGGACCCCTGACCATTAGGTCCAGTCGTGGCCGACTCTGGGGTTGCGGCGCTCATCTCGCTTTATTGGCCGAGAGAGCCGGTGTACAGCTTCCGGGTCATGCGGCCAGCATGACTAAGCCACTTCTGGCAAACCAGAGCAGCGCACGGAAACGCCATTTACCTTCCCACCAGAGCGGTACCTATTTAATAATTGCACTTTGATGTGCTTTTGAACTGCTAGGTGGGCAGGAGCAGGGACCGCGCAACGGGAACTCACCCCGTCGCGGGGATTCGAACCGCCAACCTTCTGATCGGCTCTGTGGTTTAACCCACAGCGCCACCCACATCCCAGACACCCTCCGTTATAACTGGCCTTTTATCGGATTTGCAGCTGTGGCTCAGTGCTCTCTCCTTTCCTCCTGGAGGCCTCATGTGGAAATCCATCACAGGTAGAATAAATGTTTGATGGTACCCTCTGTTTGAGGACTGTCCAGTCAGTTTGAAGATAAGGAACTAGAAAAATGGAAAGCAGGAGCCTTGAAGTTGCCCATCAGAAGCTGGCAGCAGCTGGTGCCTGCAACCAAGTCGCCTGGTGTCTTCGCCGTTACGGTGAGATGTATTGCATTTCTACTGAAATTATAGCAATTATTTCTAAATCTCCCATCTACGCATATGAATTCTCATGTGCAAATTAAATGCAAATTGGTGGCCTCTTTCCCCTCTCCCCCCATCATTATGGGAGGGGGGTGATAAAAGACCTTCTTCTTTGGCGATGCATTACTGGTCACCCTATTGCTTCTGCTTCAATGGTTCTCTGTCCCGGTATGCAGAGGGGCAAAGGCATCTGGGTAGGGAAGGAAATGGAGCAGGTGGGTCAAATGCTCTCACCCAAAGGCAGTATTTAAACCCACAGTTTTCAAGCATCACCTAATACAGGTTGAATGCGTCTTGCCTAAGGATCCCCAGATTTTTGGAGCCAGCATTGCGGCCGGGGTCATTTTTCAGAATGTGAAGAACGCTGAGCCAGTGTGGTGTAATGGTTAGAGTGTTGGGCTTGGACCTGGGAGTCCCAGGGTTTGAATCCCCACTTGGCCATGAAACTCGCTGGGTGACCTTCGGCCAGCCCACCATCTCTTAGCCTAACCTACCTCACAGGGTTGATGTGAGGATGAAGACATACACCACCTTGAGATCCTTGGGAGATAAAAGTGGTATATAAATGGAATAACTAACAAACACAGGAAGCTAGCTTAGAATGAGTTAGAGTCATGCATCCCTTTAGCACAATGTTACCTGCACTGGCTGGCAGCAGGTCTCCAGGGTGTCTGGCTGGCACTTTCCCCCACTCTACCTGGGCACACCAGTGGATTGAAGATGAGACCTTCTGCATGCAAAGCCGGTGTCTTAACACCAAGCTACAGTCTATCCTGGGATTCCCAGGCCCTCTGTGGATACAGGTTCCAACACACACAACAAAATATGCACAAACGTTTTCTTGCTTTTCCTCCTTTGGTTTCAGATCCATTTTACTCACTTCTCTATGAGGATGTGGGTTGGGCAGGGAGGGCGAGGGAGGATAAAACTCCAGATAGTGGCAGCCAACTACATTTTTCTCAGAATAAACTCAGTGAAGCGAATGGACCTAACTTAGTCCTCCTAATTCTTATGAGTCTGCTGTGAGCAAAACTGAGCTGAAGACCAACCAGGGGCATTACAGGTATGCAGCCTCCTTAGGCCAGTTCAGTAGAAAGACCAGTGCTGGGGAGGAGAGACAGAGGGAAAGGAGGATGTGTGCTTGCAAAACACCTGGCCAAACGCTGCCACTGGCCGAGGAATCGTGGGCTTGTTTTTGGGGTTGATGGATGAGCCTTACGGATTGCAGATGATAGATGTCTCTGCCAAGCTGCTCATTTACAGGGCTTTGCAAAACTGCTGCCTGAAATTAAGTATTGGCATTTTCAGCAGGTGAGTCAGTCCCGTTTGAAAGAGGCTGCAGGGAGAACCATAAGGTCACCCTTTCCCTGCCCCCATTTCTCCAGACATAATTTACCTCTGGCCTGCCAATGGTCAGCGACCTCTCCACATAGACCAACATCATTAGCACTGTCGTGTGGAAGCGGAAGCGTTAGTAACAAATGGTTGGCTAGTAACTTTTCTGACTTTATTTACAAGGCATGCCATAAATGAAGCCCTGTATATAAGTGGCCCCCTTGGCCCTTTCTATCGGCCCATATGGGACCAGCACGGGTAACCAGGTCTGGAAAATATTTAATATTCCTACCTTCATGGCTGTGATTCGTGGGTTGGCCACTTAATTTTATTTTTGTTTTACTGTGATTTTGAGCTGTGTTTTAATCAGTTGTTTGGTTTTGTGTTTTTAATGTATTATATATTTGGTTTTAGCCGCCCTGAGCCCGGCCTTGGCCAGGGAGGGCGGGGTATAAATAAATAATATTTATATATTTATTATTATTATTAGTGAAAACCAGGGCTGTGGGTAAACTGTGATTCTGCAGGTGCACAAGAAAAAAATGAGCATAAATCCAGCTTCCTAAACATCTACTTGCTCTATTATTTTTTCCCCATTAAAAAAAACACCACTGGATGCCATGCTTAGTATATATATTTTTAATCTCTCTTTAACTTGAAAAGAAAAATATGGCACTTTTTGAAACCCATGAATTAAAACTTCAAAATACTGCTGGCTCTTAAACTGGTGCAGAACCTTATGTCATCTATCCATTACTTTTTCCTTTTGTGATTTGATTTGTGTTCTCCTTCACACTTTTCCTTATTTACCCCACACAATAGATTCATCTTATCCGAATTCATGTATCAACCTATTTGTATATACCCACCGATCAATGAATACCGAGAAGAAGGAGAAATATATCTGTTTGAGAAAAGGCAACGCTTTTTAAACGCGGCTCGCAAACTCTTCAGACACTGAACACATTGTATTAGATTAGTATTAAAGAATGTGTTTGGAGAGGTATGTCTGCTCATTGATAGGATATCAAGATCTGGATCGATGATGGAGGGAGTCACCCTTGCACCACTCACCTCTGTTGATGTACACAGTTGGATCAAATGTTAGCATCAAAAATTTTAGCATGAGGGTAGCTAGGGCTCTCCACCCTCCCATATCTTGATTCCCTACAATCCGCCACTTGGATTTCTTCTTCTATCAGAACCCTGGCACCTCTTTCCCAAAGCCCAAGAAGCTTCTGCCTGGCTAAGGGATGGGGGCGCGATGCCCACATGCATGATGCCAGGACATCAAGATGTCATGCGCCCCCTCCCCAATCTCCCTCACAAGCTGGCGCTTCTGGCCCTACAGAAAATTTCAGCGCACGCCACTGCTGCCAACCGCTCTACCTAATTTATATCTTGGCTTTCCTCTGAAGAATCTTAGGGTGGAATGCACAGTTCCACCGCAACTGGAGGTCTCAAAGCTGTGAATTTATTTCCCGCACATTTTCAGCCAGGCAGACTCAAGAGGAATGCCTCTTAGCGTGCACAGAGTATCTTCCCAGTAGCAGAAAACCATCTAGACTGAGGATGCTCACAGCTTCCCACAAAGCTCCAGAGCTTCTAAACTAGAGTCATCTGTCCAGTAAAGATGTGACGAAATGCTTCCCTCCCCTCTTTGGCTGGGAAAGGAACCTGCCTTGTTGTTTCTCATTTGTTTTCCACCCTAAAGGACCTCTTTCCTTTTGCTTTGGTAGCTGCCGCGTGCCCTTGGGTGCCAGGCGTGATGGATGGCCGCTGCTTTCCCCTGCCATTTGTCATGCCCAAACCTGTAGTGCCAGTGGCTTCTTGGGCTCCTCGTCCATTAATATCCCAGAGAGTGTCTGGGTGATGCACTGTTTGCTTGCCGCTTGCTACACGCCTGCCAAGATTGATACAGCAAAGAAAGCGGCAAGCAGATGGGAAGATGCACAAGCAAGCCAACCCATAATCAAACTGCCCGTCACATGGCAGAGTGGTGGTGCTGGTGGGAACTATTAGCAAGATGTTCAGCCCTGGGGGTCCTAAGTTAAATCAGTGGTGCTGTTACATAATTTTAGACTCTGGACTTAATGGTGACACCGGTTTTTCCAGTCTTAAATTATTTCACAGGAGCATTCCCCCTCATTAGATGATTGTGTGTTTTATTCCACTAACTTCATAATCAGGTATGCCAACCCTGCTGTGTTTAGGGGCCTTCCTGCTCATTCTGCTGATTCTGCTGAGTCCCAGTCCTGCTCTGGTGGCACCACTGAGTTAAATTAATTGTGGAAGTGCTCCATAACATCAATGGAGGGAAAATAAAGGAGTGCAGCTCTTGAACTTTTTTTTAGAACAGGAGTGATAGCATTATCTTCCAGAGGGCCAGGGCAAGTGGTTTGATGAGGGAATAATTTGACCATGACGCTTTCCACTTTTACTATTATTTATGACAGATTAGCATAGAGAATGAGGGAAACAGCCAAGCAGAGGCTAGGCACTTCTTTCCTTTCCTTTGATGGAATCCCTACTTCAGCCACGGAGTTTTAATGATAACCCTTCTTTACAAAACTGTTTGCGTTTCTAATTAAAAGCTAAATGTCGCATTTCAGCTGCCTTAAAATCAGTGTGTTTTACAAGGTGAATCTGTGCTGTCAGAAGCAAGCACCACTGAGTACGTTGCAGCGTACTCCCAGAAAACTATACAATTACATCCAACTATTCTCCCAGGGTATGTACATTTCATTGTTTGTTTTGTAACAGAAGAAAATCCTTAATAAAAACGAATTAAAAACAAAGCAAAACTATACTCCCAGGAAGCTATATAATTACCTTCATGCTGATCCTAATGAACTGGGTATTGTGCTATGTATTGCTGCTCATGCATCTGTTTGTAATTATTATTATTTTCTTATATATTAATTTATGTACCACTAATATGCCAGATTGGCTTCTAAGGTGTTTGCAACTATGAAATCAATACATAACTAAAATACCCAATAACAAGTCCATTGGGGCACTAAAACATCCTTAATTTAAATATATGGTAAAGCAAAACATTATAATTAAAACGGCTTTTTTAAAAGTTAAAAAATAATTTTTGCTGTTCATTTATATACCATATTTATTAATCTGTATACCCATAATGATATATAGGATCAACACAGCAGTCTATATTGAGTGGAAGAATGCAGCTGCCTGCATTTTTTTATTCTCTTTATGGCATGGCTATGGGTTCCAGGGGGAAAGGGGGTATGGGGCCTGTAATATTATTTCTAGGTTGCTTACTATAAAAACATCTCTAAGTGGTGTAGAGCAAACCGAAGCATATCATAACAACACTGAAAACGTGCCATGAAATACAAAAATAAAATATAGCCTCTTAAAATACAAAAGGGCAGTCTCCACCCTTAACAACCCAGGAAAGCCTGAGCAAAAAGCATAATCTTCCAGAGACTTTGAAGCAGGGAGGGCGCTCTGGCTTCCATCACGGTGTTCCGTTGCGCCAGAAGCGCTTCAGTCCTGCTGGCCACATGACCCGGAAAGCTGTCTGTGGACAAACGCCGGCTCCCTCGGCCTGAAAGCGAGATGAGCGTCGCAACCCCATAGTCCCCTTTGACTGGACTTAACCGTCCAGGGGTCCTTTACCTTAAATAAATAAATAAATATTTAATTCTCAGGCTTTTAATGAATGACTCTATCTGTTAACTGATCCCATTTGCAAACTGCGATTGACATTAATCAGTACGCCTTTGGAGAGGGCCCAGAAGGGGACAGTCTTAAGTGTGAGGTGACTTGGTATTTTATAAGCAAAAGCTAGGACCCACTATGGGGGGTGGGAGTGGGGGCATGCAATGAAATGTTGCAGTGTGGAATGCTCCTGTTCAAGGGTCCATCCTATCATATCCTGTTCAAGGATACTCCATTACATTCCTCCTGCCTGCTGTTTTTCCATCCCCCTCCCTTGCTGCCAGCACTCTGCGGCCAGTGAGGCATACTTAGTTCCCACTGGGCTGTTTATATCCCCACACGCAAACACTTTCGGAAGGATTCTAAATAATTTTTTGTACTTCTGCAAATCTTGGGGTTCTTCCAAGCCCACTGGCTGCCAGCCTCTTTCTTGTGCATGGATAGTGCCATTCTGACTACATAAGGATCCACACTCAGAGAACTGCATTTCTTTGATATTATTTCCTCTTTCATTGCGCTTGGGAAATTTTGAATATGGAGTCATTCTCCTATGGTCTTAAATTGCCAAACAGTGTGACTGACAGGCAAGGATGGAAGAAACGCTTCAATTTCAGTTCCCCATGTTTTTCATCATTCCACTCTTAAATTCGGTTTTCCACATCTCTGCTGTATGTTATGATTTATTTATTTTTAAACAATCCTCCTGAAAACTTGTCCGTATTTTAGTGTGTGTTTCTTCCAATATACAGCCTTTTTAATGCGACTTTAACATTTTTGCAAGCAGTTTCACCTGATACAAGGCGCTTTGCATGTAATTTTCACTCCCATGTGCATCTTTCCCCCTAATATTATTCATTTTGTATTTTCTGTTTGGCTGGAGAACTGCCTTGCAAAATTTGGAGGAATGGAAATTTCAAAGGATAGCTGTGTTTCGATTCTCACATTCATGCAAATAAGGTAAAAAGGTAAAGGGACCCCTGACCATTAGGTCCAGTCGTGGCCGACTCTGGGGTTGCAGCGCTCATCTTGCTTTATTGGCCAAGGGAGCCGGTGTACAACTTACGGGTCATGTGGCTAGCATGACTAAGCCGCTTCTGGCGAACCAGAGCAGCGCACAGAAACGCCGTTTACCTTCCCGCCGGAGCGGTACCTATTTATCTACTTGCACTTTGACGTCCTTTCGAACTGCTAGGTTGGCAGGAGCAGGGACCAAGCAACGGGAGCTCACCCTGTCATGGGGATTCGAACCGCCGACCTTCTGATCGGGAAGTCCTAGGCTCTGTGGTTTAACCCACAGCACCACCCACGTCCCTGCAAATAAGGTAGTTTCTCATTAAAATCAAACAACAACAGTTCTCTCGTCCAGCCCTACCGACAAGCTACATGGGTGTGCCGCTGGAAATCAATTAAACTGCTGAGGCTTCAAACAATGTCACGCTTAGCTGAGAGCAAGCCCCAGCAAACTCAGTGGGGCTTGCTTCAGAGTAAACATGCATAGGCTTGCTCTGCAAAAGCTGTTGTGGTTCCCAAGTATCCAGTGGTGCAATTAGTTAATTTTTATCACTCTGGACTTTGTGGACTTAATTTTTTTGGCGGCGGGGTGTTTGTGTGTGTCTTTAGATGGTAAATGTGCATTGTTTCACTTATTTCAAAATACAGTGGTACCTTGGTTCTCAAACGCCTTGGTACTCAAACAACTTGGAACCCAAACACTGCAAACCCGGAAGTAAGTGTTCCAGTTTGCGAACTTTTTTTGGAAGCTGAACATGCTCCATTTTGAGTGTTACACTTCTGATTTGAGTGCCACACTGTCATTTTGAGCGCCACACTTCTGTTTTGAGTGTTATGCTGAGGTCTGTCTATTTTTGCTATTTATTTTGTGTTTTTGCGGCTCTTTTTTGTTTTTGTGACTGTGGAACCCAGTTCAGCTACTGATGGATTGTGTGACTGCAATACATTGTTTATTGCTTTCATTTTATGGATCAATGCTCTTGTTAGATAGTAAAATTCATGTTAAATTGCTGTATTAGGGGTTGTTTTTAAAAGTCTGGAATGGATTAATCCATTTTGCATTACTTTCTGTAGGAAAGCGCACCTTGGTTTTGGAATGCTTTGGTTTTGAAATGGACTTCCGGAACGGATTAAGTTTGAGAACCAAGGTACCACTGTATGCTAAGCCAACTCTACTGTCCAGCTATCCAGCTGCCCTAAAGTTCTGCCCTAATGGCACGACTACTAAGTC